TCTTCTGCATTCCTCTCTCCCTCTCGTTTACTGAGCTAACTTTCCGTGAAATCATTCAGAATTATTGTCTCCATGACACCTTAACACACTGAGTTCTATGATTCTTGCCCCTCACTTGGTGTCTCCAAGTGATATCTGCCTAAAATTCAACGTACATTATGCACAGCCCCGCTGTTTTTTATTGCTATTCACCCAGAAGGGCCCATTGTTGGTTTGCTTTTTTTTTTGCCCCTTTCCCAGCCTGATTAACCCATCTGTCTTTTCCCACATCCTGGTTTCTGAGGATTGAACCTGAGGTTTTCACTGGAATGGTCCACGCTGTTGGGCAGAACATGGGTCTGCCCCTGTTTTCCAAAGGAAACCTGACCTGGACACTCTGTCTATCTTACCACATGCCATCAGGACTCGACCTGTTTGACCACAGCACAGACAGACCTTTCAAGGCCAAAAGAGCCTAGCCTTGGACTGGAGCCCTCATCTTCTGGCAGAGGGAAAGAGTTTACCACTGCACCACGAGTCCTTTTGCTAACAAGGATCCCTTCTCGATCACTTATTTGCCATGGAGTTCATAGATTCCTCGCTCTTCCTCATAAAACTGATCATCCCATCCGTGTTGACGTTCAGTTGCACAATGCGTACCCATTGTGCACAGAATGAGGAACTACAGAACTTCGCTGTAACAGCCCAGGAGACAAGGAGTCGGCAGACATGAGTGGACTGGCAAATGAGGGAAACCAAAAGCATGGAGGTTCCTCAGCATCTGCCTGAAAAGTCAAGTTGTTCAAGATGTGTTGGAACCCGTTTCATGACGAGGTCTACTGTGAGGCAAGATATCACAGTGAGTAGCTTGCGATGAAATTGAGCTCAAGTCTTTCCAGCTCAATGTGAGTAGTTTAGTCGTTATTACACATTGTGAACTCTTGGCACAGCGTGTTCTGTGTCCCTGGTGTGGAAGGCTGTTATTATAGGGTGTTTGTAACCACACTGTGCGCTAACAGAAGTGGGAGGTCCTCTAGTAGTATCTTAATGCTGCTGTGCTTCAGTTTTTATGCCTGGATGAAAAATTTGTCAATGACACAGAGTCATTGCCATGTGCACATCATCTGAGCCTAAGAACACAATCCCTGCAGAAGACAAGGGCAGTAGATGCAGGGGAACACCACCCCCTGTGAGTTTCCCCCTAAGCCATACACCATCCTGACTTGTAACTACTGTGACAATATGATGGCTTTAAGAGGTATATTTTGCCCCTTTTTTTTATGAAGAAAGGTTGAGACAGAGGTGCTGCAGTCTGCTTCAAAGCCAGTAAAGTAAATAGCTCGTGGGTTTTTTTTTTTAGTTGGAACAATAGAAGCAGCCTGAATGGGTGGGGTCAAGCTCCCACAGAACCAGAATGTTTAGTTTTAGCTTTCTGCAGTTGCTGGGATCTTGAAGCTGGATGTGGAAGCTGTTATTCCTCTCTCTGTTACAGCTAAAAGCTGGGGGTTCTCTTCCTGTTGCTAGAATTGCATATGAAACAATCTGTTTTACTGAATTTGCCTTTGCCAAGGGTGTGTTTATGTACAGCATCCGCAGTTCATTTGGTTTTTATCTAGTATGTTTGTGGGATGTTACTGTATTCGAACAGTTAGTTAAGAGCAGCTAATATGAATATATATTTTGTTAAGCATTTCGATAGAGTTATAGCTAAGCAGATTCTTCAATTTTTATTTTGTCTTTATTTTAACTGCAGTGTAAAAATGAAGTGTGTTTGGCTTAAAGTTAAAAAAAAGAGCGTAGAACAGTACAGCACAGTACAGGCCCTTCGGCCCACAATGTTGTGCTGACCTATTATCCTACTAAGATCAATCTACCCTGCATACCCTACATTTTACTATCGTCCATGTGCCTATCCAAGAGTCGCTTAAAGTCTCTGAAGTATCTGACCCCACTACCACTGCCGGCAGCGCATTCCACACACCCACCACTCTCTGTGTGAAGAACCTACCTCTGACATCTCCCCTATACCTTCCTCCAATCACCTTAAAATTATGCCCCCTCGTAATAGTCATTTCTGGCCTGGGAAAAAGTCTCTGGCTATCCATTCTCTCTATGCCTCTCATCATCTTGTACACCTCTATCAAGTCACCTCTCCTCCTTCTTCGCTCCAATGAGAAAAGCCCTAGCTCCCTCAACCTTTCCTCATAAGACCTGCCCTCCAGTCCAGGCAGCATCCTGGTAAATCTCCTCTGCACCCTCTCTAAAGCTTCCACATCTTTCCTATAATGAGGCGACCAGAACTGAACACAATATTGCAAGTGTGGTCTAACCAGAGTTTTATAGAGCTGCAGCATAACCTCTCGGCTCTTAAACTCAATTCCGCTGCCAATGAAAGCCAACACACCATATGCCTTCTTTACAACCCTCGCAACTTTGAGGGATCTGTGGACGTGAACCCCCAAGATCCCTCTGTTCCTCCACACTGCCGAGAATCCTGCCATTAACCCTGTATTCTGCATTCACATTCGACCTTCCAAAATGAATCACTTCACACTTTTTGTTGAATAGTTTGACCAATCGAATTACACTTGGAATGCAACACTTGACACTTACCTTTAAAATAAGAAAAAGTTAGAGTCTACACTATCTTCTTAACATATACTGCTGTTCCTTGACTGTTCCCAGGGTCACAATCCCTGAACTGCCTGGCCATCGGTACTCTGGGTGTCCATGCATCACATGGACTGCAGTGGCTCAGGAATGCAGCCCATTCCCACCAACACCTCCTCAATAGGAATTAGGGATGGGTGATAAATGCTGGCTGACCCACATTCTGTGGGAGAACGTATGTATGAAATAAAACAATCTGAATACAGGGATAACAAGGTGTGGAGCTGGATGAACACAACAGGCCAAGCAGCATCAGAGGAGCAGGAAAGCTGACATTTCGGGTATGGACCCTTCTTCAGAAAAATCCCCAGCATCAGCAGTTCCCACTAAATCTGAACACAGAGCTGTGAAGGAACACGCTCCTTGGTTAGGAATCAGGTTTATCGTGTGTTTACATACTACTGCAGCACAGAACAGTAAGCTATCAAACAAGAGACGTATTCAGCCTTTGACTGCAGCATTTAATAACACCCTTACTCTAACAAGGCAACCAGAACCGGACACAGTATTCCAGAAGAGGCCTCACCAACACCCTGTACAAACTCAACATGACATCCCAACTCCTATACTCAAAAGATCTGAGCAATGAAGGCAAGCATGCTAAATGCCTTCCTAACCACCCTGTGATGTAAATTTCAAAGAACTATGTACCTGAACCCCTAGGTCTTCTGTCCTACAACAGTTGATGCTGAGTTAATAGTTACATTGTAAACTTGAGAGAGGTTGACAAAAATCAAAGATATGAATGGATCTGGGGAAAGTTCAGGTGTATTGAGCTGCAGTGCTGAGTCACGATCTCATTGAGTGGCAGAACAGGTTCAAAGGCACAAATCCTGTCTGAATTTCTCCTGAGAAAGCTGGGAGAAGATGAGATAATCAAGTACAAGCTACAGGAGAAATGAGGGTTGTGTTGTGCAGATGAGCTAAAGAGGGGTATGTAAATCTACACAACGCTTCGGATTGGTTGTTGCGTTCTGTTGTAAATAACCAGAACGGAGAGCTGGGTTGAGATTTTATCATGATTTTTAGCAAGATGTTACTGAGACCAGAAACAGGCACAAAAGCTGCATGGGACCTCAACTTGCAGCTTGGAGCAGCAACAATGAATTGAAACAGCATGCTCACAACTCTGCTTCTGATCCCTTTTTGTAATCTGTACTTGTAACTGCATGGTTTACAGTGCAATGGCTGGTATCAAACCAATATAACACATTGTGTGGCCCAACTCGTTATTTTCTATTCTGCGAGATTCTGTGAAAGGGGGTGTGTCTATAAATTATTCTGTAAAATCCCCAACGTATCTGTGAGCTGTTTATTGCAATGCAACATGAGTCGCCACGCAGCAAGCGAAGGGCCCCATTTCAAGCACAAGAAATTGGATACTAGCAAATCAAGATCTTACAGAATCTCAGATTCACAGCGCAAGGGAGCCCATCTGCGTGTCTGCACTGCCTATCCACACCAACAAGATCCGCGTCCATCATACCTGGTAGCTGCCCCAAACTGGCATGTTTTGATCGTCCGGGGCACTGCGGGCACAACACATGGCTCCCTAGGTGTGACATGTCCCATTGTTTGCAGAGAGAATAGCCCACAGTGCAGGGTCTGGGGTAATGGTCCCGGATAAAACCATCAGTAAGTCTACAGTAAAGCCTGGCAGTAGGTGCATGGTGTACTAGACAGCACAAACACATGAGCTGTCAAACCAATAGGTGGCATGGATAGGCATCACTGGGAACAGACTCGAACAGGCAGTGACAATGGGAGACAAAGATGATGTTCGAGACTGTCGGAGCAGTTCCCTGACTTTTGCCAACTTGTGATGGCTGCCGCAGATCTCAGGAACTTAGAAATTGAGCAAGAGCTGTACCTGTTTGTTTCATGTCCAACGTTCACCCACCTTCGTTAATTTGGGTGCTGCAGCAATGTTGAAGATGCTATCCTTTCAGCCTCCCTCCGTTGACACCAAGCCCAATTTCCCTGGCCCCACACACACAGCTCATTTTCCCATCCACTTCAACTGATTGCAGGGTTCTTGGCAGGGAGTAGAGGGCAAGCAATGGGCACCTAATTTCCCAGCCGACCCTGCACTGGGGGGGGGTATGTCACCCCACCCTCCCAAGGCTCAACATCACCTGTCCTCGATCACTCTAAGCCTCCAGGTTTACAGGTCATCAGAAAAAGACACTTCAAGACCAAACTCAGCATCGTGATGCATCTCCTCTCTCTCTTTCTCTCTCCCCCTCACACCCAGCCAGCTGCTGAATGAAACTGCAGGGACTCTTCCCCCCACCAGGGTTTCTCTGTTTAACATCACCACAGTGGGGTAGGTGAGAAAACACAGCACTTACCTCGTCATCCGTGGGAGGTGGAGGGGGCTCTTTGATGATCTGGAGCAGGAGAGAAGACGGAAGAGGAATTAGAAACCTCACTGACAGATCAAGTATTCCCATTCGAACAGTACAAGGTAACCCCGAATCCAGACAGTAAGGGTGGGAGAGGCAGAAAACCCTGAGGAAGGACTGAGCTGTGCACTTGCTATGCCAGGACATGCAGGGCCAAGGGCCAAGTGCTGGAAAATGGGATTAGACTCGTGAGGAGGTTGTTTTTGACCAGCATGGACTCGATGGGCTGACTGGCCTTTTCCTGTGCTTCAGCGGCTCCGTGTCACACGATGCTGTCAATCACCAAGGTGTTCTATTCCAGTAAATCAGAAGGTAAAGCTCCCACTGGCTGTGGGGATGTAGATTTAAGGTGACTAGGAGTAAGAGAGAAGGTGCGGATTTGTTTGGGACTGAGTGAGTTCTGATCTTGAAAAATCCCTGCCTGAAAGGAGAAGGAGAAGCAGGTTGAACAGGAACGTTCCAAATGGAACTGGGCCAATAAAGCGGACTGTGAAGACTCCAGGCTGGGTGCATGGTTCATTCCTCGAGCCAGCAGGGCCATGATGGGCCAACTGGCCTCTCTCCATGCTATGAATGGATTCCCCTGTTTTTAAAAACTACTTTCCAGTCTCGTCTGACTTTCTGTGATACTGCTCATTGAGACATCTTCTACCCAGACCCCACTTGGGACTTGAGTCTTGTTATATTTTTTAAATTTATTCACAGGATGTGGGAGTCTCTCGCTGGAGTGGCATTTATTGCCTCTTCCTAGTTGCCCTTGAGAAGGTGGAGATGAGCTTCCATCTTGAACCACTGCTGTCCTTTGGGTGTAGATACACTGACAGTGCCGTTAGGGATGGAATTCCAGGATTTTGACCCAGTGACAGTGAAGGAACGGTGATATATTTCCAAGTCAGGATGGTGAGTGGCTTGGAGGGGAATTAGCAGGGGGTGGTGTTCCCATGTATCTGCTGCCCTTGTCCTTCTGCATGGAAGTGGTCGTGGGTTTGGAAGGTGCTGTCTGAGGATCTTTGGTGAATTTCTGCAGTGCATCTTGTAGATGGTACACACTGCTGCTACTGAGCGTCGGTGGTGGAGGGAGTGGATGTTTGTGGATGTGGTGCCAATCAAGCGGGCTGCTTTGTCCTGGATGGTGTCGAGCTTCTTGAGTGTTGATCGGGCTGTAGAGTTGAAGGGTTACCTCCTCCTCGTTTGCTATATTCAACTTAGTTAGGTGCAGGATGAGGCTACTTGGCCCCTCTGGCCTGTCCTGCCCTCCAATAAAATCATGGCTGATGTGACCATGGCCTCCACTCCAAATTCTCCCCAGTAACTGACAATGAATTTCAGGGGGAAGAACTTCTAACGGGACTGGAGTGTGTAAATGCAGGGAGGATGTTCCCAAGGAGCTGGTAGCTCGGAACCAGGGGTAACAGTGTAAGGATATGGGATAGGCAACTGAGATAAGGAGGACTGAGATAACCGGACTAGACAGGGGTAAACACAGGAAGGATGTTCCTGATGACCAGGTGTCCAGAACCAGGAGTCACAGGTTAAGCCTTTTAGAACTGAGAGGAGGAGAAATGTCTTCACCCACAGAGTGAGGAGCCTGTGGAAATCCCTGTTGCAGGAAGTAGTTGGAGCCAAAACATATTTTCAAGAAGAACTTGGATATAATTCTTAGGGCTAAAGGGATCGGAGGGTAGGCGAGAAAATGGGAACCAGGCACTGAGTTGGATGATCAGCCATGGTCAGACTGAATGGAGGAGCAGGTTCAAGGGGCTGAATGGCCTCATCTCGCTCCTATTTTCTGTGTCTATGTGCGGTTTGAATTCATGACAGCGGGGTCAGGAGCGGAGGCCTCTGAATTATTCATTCAAAAATCTAATCACCCATCCCTCCTCGTACTTTTAGGAATCAAAACATATTGTGTGCTTCCGGCACAGGGAGATGAAATGAAAGATTGCTCAAGATCTTGGACAGAGCGACTCACTCACTCACTGAGAGGCTTGGGTTCAGCCAATCAAACGTTCTGACCTGTTCATAGCACTGAAATGACATGGAAATTGGCTGCACAGTGCACAGAGTGTGCCTCCAGTCATAATGTTTCTAAACAAGATGAAAGCACTTTTTTCTGGGCATCAGATCAGGGTCTTTGTTTGTAACTTGGACTACCCAGGGCTGTCCAAAGCTTGTTTTTTTTATGTGTGTGGCTGTCCAGCTGAACTCATCCCCATGACGTGACATTATTTGTTTTATCACTTCAGCCCAATTAATTTGCCTCCTCCCAGTCCCGTGCTGACCATCGCGTGGCTTAAAACAATGAGATTGCAAGGCTCTGCCTGGACTGATGTTAGACTTACCACAGTGCAACATAAAGGCCAGAACCACCAGAGCAGGACCAGTGCCAGGAGCAGGAACAGAATTAAGAGCGCGATCGCCAGAATTGTTCCATCCGACTGCAAAGAGAAACACAAAAGGGTGGGTGTGATTAGGAAATCCTCATCAAAACACATAGGAGAGCTCCATGTTGGTTACCATGGGCAGAGTGAAAAGCAGATGCTCTGACACATCCACAGGGCCTGGCTTCTCGGGTTTCTGTCCTCGTTTTGTTGTTGAGTCCCCTATTTGGCCAAAATTTGTCCTTTTTTTTGTCTCTTTCGCACGTTGTAAATATACTGAACCCTCATGCCAGTGTCATCTCTTCAGGCCAATTGTCCAGCTAATACCAATTCCCCTGTTTCTTCCCCCACAGAATGGAATGGGAAACATGTCTGGAGGAGAAACAGGCTGCGGGAGTGTGAGAAGCAAGCCAGGAGAGTGGATTAACTGTAGCATTTACGTGCTCCTCTGCAGCACCTTCCAAACCCACGACCACTTCTATGTAGAACACTCCCCCTGACCCACCACCGCAAGTTCCCCTGCAAGCCACTCATCAACAACACTTGGAAATATATCGCTATTCCTTCACTGTCACTGGGTCCAAATCCTGGAAATCCCTCCCTAATGACATTGTGGGTCAACTCACAGCTCAGGGACTGCCGTGATTTCAAGAAAACAGCTCACCACGACCTTCACAAGGGGCAACTAGGGAAAGACAAGTGCCGATGACAAACCGAGATGGACAATCCATGCTTGCCCAGCCAATGACACCCACAATCTGTGAAAAAGACGTTTGAAGAAGAGGGAGAAAGAGTCTCCATGTGGGTTTCTTCATAATTCATTCACTGGCTAGGCTAGCATTTATTGCCCATCCCTAACTGCCCAGAGGGCAGTTATGAGTCAACCGCATTGTCGTGGGTCTGGATTTACATGCAGGTCAGGACAGTGGATTTCCTTCCCTAAAGGGCATTAGTGACCCAGATGGGTGTTTTACCAAAAATTGACAATGGTTACCATTAGGCCAGCTCTCTCGTTCAGATTTCAGTGTATTCAAATTCCACCCATTTGCCTTGCGTCCTCAGGAATTTAGCCTGGGGTTCGAATAGTAAGTCCAGTGATAAGACACCACTGCCTCCCTTTAATTCCATAAAGGTGCTACATGAATGCAAGTCGCTGCATTATTTCATGGTATGTTGATCCATATTGTGTGCCATGTGTGTGATTTTTCTTTTGGAATGGACTGTATAAAGTGAGCAGCTTTGGGAAGCTGAACCATTTTCCTGCTCGCTGCCAGTCAATAGAATCCCTACGGTGTGGAAACAGGGCATTTGGCCCAATGAGTCTGCACAGACCCGTCCCATCTCTGTAATCCTGCATTTCCCATGGCTAACCCAGGCATCCCTGAACACTATGGTTAATTTAGCGTGGCCAATTACCTAACCTGCACATCTTTGGACTGCGGGAGGAAACCGGAGCACCCAGAGGAAACTCATGCAGACACAGGGAGAATGTGCAAACTCCACACAGACAGTCGCCCGAGGGTGGAATCAAGCCCAGGTCCCCGGTGCTGTGAGGCAGCAGTGCCAACCACTGAGCCACCGTGCTGCCTCGTGTGGGCAACCAGGCCCAATTGATTGGCAAAACGGCTCCAGCTGAAAGCCGTGAGGTTCATGACCAGCAAGTCCAGAAAACAGATTTGGGAAAAGGAGGAGAGAGTTAAATCTTGTGTTGGAAAGTCATCCAGTGAAATCCTTGTGGTTTTTGTGTGGGTCTGAAAAATGAACATGTTGGCTGGTTTTGGGACAGGAAGTTTGCAATATACATGCGTAAGATTAAGCATTCGGAGTAAAACAACTTAATCGAGCTCAAGGGGGTGGCACAATTACCACTTGTGTTGCTTTTAAAAAAGAGAGTCCAGCAAACAAATGTTTAATTTCCATGAATTTAGTTTTCCTCAACCCTCACTGCAAAGGAATCAAAAACGAGCTGTGGCCTATATCCAGAAGGTGCTGGCCAAGTATCACTCGGGTAATTTAAGGTCTGCAACAATGTCAGGGAATGAAGTTTCCAAAACTGAAAAACTTTCCTCCTTTCTCCAGGGGCCATCCTCATTTCATGGCTGCACACGAATTGCTGCACATCCTATTCCTTCAGAAGGTCCACCTTTTGTTTGCTGTTTATTTTGAGGATGGGGAGAATAGGCAGCTGTGACGAAAAGAGAGCCTTTTTCATCATTCCTCAGGGATTTTTATTTTCCTCTCTCCCTTTGCTCTCCAGCTGTCTTTTTTTAACTTCTCTGGGGACTGGCTGTTGGGTTTCTCCCTGTCTCTCCCAGCCGGGAAGGAAGTGGGAACAACTCGCAGCATCAAAGGACTTGATGGTCTTTGAGATCACCGCAACATTGTGAAAGACAGAGTCAAAAGATGAGCTCTTTAACCAAGCTGAAGCCAGCGGCAGCAGACAGGGTCTGGGCCCAGCGGTGGTGCCCCATGCAACACAGACCAAGGAGAATGCGTCACCACCCCCTCCTCCCTCCACCCCAACCGCCCCCGTTTTAATGAAGTGGGGAACAGGGGTGGACCAGCAGGAGAAATTTGTGCTCGCCCTCTGACCCAGCCTCATCCTTGTCTCCCCCTCCCCAGCAATGTGACTCCCTGCAAGAAGGGGTCTTCTCATACCATGGGGATGACCGAAGCTCATGGTCTGTCTGGGTCTGGGGGGGAGCACGGAAACAGTGCTGGTTCCCTGGTAACCGGGCCAACTGGGTGAGAATTTGGGCTGAGTAACGATCTCAAGGTCTACATCCAGTACCAGAGCAGTTGGGAGTTTGGGGAGGATGTGTGGAAACAGAAGTTTGACTGGAAAAGCATCTGCCTCGTGTCTCTGTCTCATCAGTGCTGAACGCCTGGTATTTAATTGAGGGTTTGGGGATAAGAGTAAGGATGTCTTGCTGCAGTTACATAGGGCATTGGTGAGGCCACACCTTGAATACTGTGTGCAGTTTTGGTCTCCTAGTCTGAGGAAGGACATTCTTGCTATTGAGGGAGTCCAGCGAAGGTTCACCAGACTGATTCCTGGAATAACAGGACTGACATATGAGGAAGGACTGGATCAACCGAGCTTGTATTCACTGGAATTTAGAAGAATGTGGGGGTGGGGGGGTGGTGGTCTCCTAGAAACATACAAAATCCTGTTGGGATTGGTCAGGCAAGATGTAGGAAGCATGTTCCTGATGTTAGGGAAATCCAGAACTCAGAGTCAAAAGGGACAAAAGGGATAGCCATTCAGGAATGGAATGAGGAAGAATTCCTTCACTCAGAGAGCTGTGAACCTGTGGAATTCTCTCCCACAGGAAGCTGTTGGGGCCAGTTTGTTAAATATATTCCGGAGGGAGCTGGACAAGGCCCTTGCGGCTAAAGGGACCAAGGGGTATGGGGAGAGCATGGGAATGGAATACTGAGATTGCATGATCAGTCAGGATTGTATTGAATGGTGATACAGGCTCGAAGGGCCGAATGACCTACTCCTGCACCTATTTTCTATGTTTCTATGTTCACGTTGAGAATGGGAGGGGAATGGTTGTCCTCCCCATTTTGTGAGTTGACCTGGTAAGGATCCTAACCTCAGGGCTAGGAGTCAGAGCCGACAGTGGAAACAGCAAATCCTCAGTGGCAATGGTGGAACTGTTAGAACCTGCAGATCGGAGGTTCTTCAGGATAAAGTGTCTCCCCCGAGCAAAAGGGAGGAAGTGAAATGGAAAGCATCTTGTGTATTCTTTTCCCAAGCCACACAGCTCAACTGAATCGAACGTTGGGAGGCTTTTATGAGCAACTTTGACTTTGCCAGCTGGGACCAGCACTCCATGAAAGAACAAAGTCAGCATCTGTTGCCTGTCCCTTCTTGCTCTGGAACTGACTATCTGTCTCACTCTCTCCTGTTTCACAGGGCATTTCAGAGGCAGCAGGCATTGCTGTCCATCTGGATACACACAGAGGCAAGAGAGAGGGTCAGGACAAGAGGGCAGATTCTCTTCCCTCAGGGAAACTGATGAACCAGATGAGATGTTATTGGAACTATAGGTGTTGTGGTCCCCGTGCCTGAGCCTAGCTTTCAATTCCACGTTAATTGATTTAACATTCCACCAGCTGCCAAGCTGGGATTGGGAAGCCTTGTGACCAGAGTAAATAGCCTGAGCCCCTGAGTGATCAGTCCGCTGAGATGACCTTCTCCTCTTAAAGTGAAGAGGAACGCACCAAGTATGGAGAAATGAGCAGAGCAGTTGTAGGCCATTCAGCCCATTGAGTCAGCTCCACTATTCAATGGGATCGCGGTTGATCTGATCATCCTCGACTCCACTTTCCTGCCTTCACAGGCTCATAGAATCTCTACAGTGCGAAAACAGGCCATTCGGCCCATCGCGTCCAAACCGACCTTCCAAAGAGCATCCCCCTACCTTATCCCTGTAACCCTGCATTTCCCATGGCTAACTCACCCAGCCTGCACATCTTGAGACAGTGGGAGGAAACCGGAGCACCCAGAGGACACCCACACAGACACGGGGAGAATGTGTGAACTCAATGTGATCACGCAAGGCTGGAATCGAACCTAGGTCCCTCGCATTGTGAGGCAGCACTGCTGAACACTGAGCCCCCATGCTGTCCTATTTTCCCCACAGCCCTCCATTCCCCCGGCCCCCACTCACTGATTAGAAGTCTCTCTCAGCCTTGAACACACTTAATGACCCAGCCTCGACAGCCCTCTGCAGTAAAGAATCCCACTGATTCACTCCTCTCCGAGAGAAGAAATTCTTCCTCATCTCTGATGCCCTCTACCTAGAGTCTACCCTCATGATGATTTGTCCTGAAAGGGATCTCCATGTCCCAAGCTTCTCAGCTGGGACGGAGCAGGATAGGCTTTGATGGTAGATGCTAGCCAGCAGCTATTACCCTGGCCACTGACACCCAGAGCCTCTTACCCCCAGGGAATGAAAATGCAGACTGGCCAAAGCATAAGCTGCCATCTCTCAAATCAGATACACTTCCAGATCTCACTGCTTTCCTCCCTCTGTTTAATATCC